GACTCAAATACTCGTTTCGTTTTGCTGCACAACGTAATAGTTGATTTCCCATGTTGGGCTTAGGGTGTAACGAAGGAGACAGCTGTTTAAATTCCATAGAAAATCCCTCTCAAAAAGGAAAATCAACGCTAAGTTGGATTTTGTTTAGTTTATACCGTAGCTTGGGAAAGTCAGCATAGGACTAAGACAAATCCAATGTGTGGAATTTTGGTTTCTAACGATGGCTGGAAAAGGACTATACTCTAGTGTCATCAAATGAAGCCAAACCCAAGAAACAGGGAAGCACAAAGTGTAGAGAGAGAAGCACCATATCAATCAATTAAGTTTCCAAAACATCAAATATCTTAACTTGACTGATTCTTTCGCAGAAAGTAATTTTATCAAGTAGGCATTTATTCTTTAATATTTACCTAAAGTCAAGATATCATGACCCTTTAAACTTGTTGTGCCTGCCCATCTTCACACATTGGCATCTGGTAAAAATTCAAAAAATCTATGTTTCTACCAATGCCATGAAACTTCACTGTTACCATTTCATTAGCTGTACTCTACATGCTAAAAGCAAACATACATATATACCTGCAGAAATTTTGAGTTCAATCTTAGCTATGGCTAACTAGCTGCAGGGCATTCTGCTAGCTCAAAAATTATACCATCTCTTTTTGGCAACTATATATATCTTTAACAAGATCCCAAAACCAGCTTAACCAAGTTGGGCAAGCACCTACTGTTATCATGATCATGATATGATTCAGTTATACCTATAAACTTGGGGGGTTTTAATTTCTCCTTACATACCAGACTTCTGAATCAATGAGTCCGGGCAGCAGGACTGGCTGGACCTGTGCCTTGTGGTGCCCAAGGCTACACTCAGCTTTCCGAACCATCTTAGCCTGCAGCATAGTCTACACCACCACCCTCTACGGCCCACAGCCTCTCAGGCAGCTAGTAGCCTACCCTGCATACTCTTACCTCACCACCATCCTGATCGTGTCAGACGCGACTCTTGGGGACGCGCTGAGAGGCTTCTGGCATGCCCTTTGCGCTTGTGTTCAGGTTATGACCCTCTCAATCTCGAGCCTCCTGCTGATAGGGCCTGCGCACTTCAGTTACTTCATATCAGCCTTGGCAGTGGCTCTGTGCACTTTTGTTGTGGCATTGCCGGGAGCAACTCACTTGATGGCTAAGAGGATTGCATTTGGACAGATTGTGATTGTGTATGTAGGCACTGCCATTCATTGTGCAGAAGCTGGTGAATTGGTACTTATGCACCCGATTCAGGTGGCGTTGAGTACTATGCTTGGAGCCTCGGCATCAGTCATGGCTATGCTGTTTCCCAACTTGTTCTTCTACCAAAAGGCATCTGTGGCGGCTTTTCTGTCTCCTTACCTTGCCTACCACGAGGTATATATAATACAAATCTATATATGTCACATGTGTTGTTTGTCTTTGGCTTTTCTTTTGAAGCAACTCCATATGTTTGCATAATTTTTATATGGATCCTAAATTCTTGCATGCGATGAGGGCAAAGTTTTCATGATATGCAGATTTCACGAAGGTTCAAATCATGTGGACCCTATGTAGTCTTTCTGTTTTTTCCGGTTACGAAAGGCATGCTCACAGAAAAATGGTAAAGATATACAAAGTCTTACGAAATATGTTTAATGAAGCGGGTCAGAATTAGGAAAGAAAATGAAAACTCTTAAGTGTTTGATTAAAAGAAGGGCCAGTGGAGGAATAGATGCTGTACTGACATAGCTTCTTCAAAGCAAGTAGTTGGCAGCATTAAGTTCTTAGAACTTATGCCTATCAATTCAGTCTTTTCCATATTCCACCACAAAACTCTGTTTTTGTTTTTTTGTTTTTTCTACTTCATCGAAGTAAACCTGAAGTGTCGTGAAAGACTGGAACGGGAAACAAAACGAAATGTAACGGATTTTTTTTGCACATACAACCATCCACAATCAAGATTTCACTAACAGTTCTAGATTTCAATAAGATTTAAGTGATGCTCCCTTCTTCATCTTGTCTCTCGAATGCATGTGATACTGGGCCTAATGGCAATGCTTTGTAACATTTACAGGTGAGAGATATGTGCCAAAAATATGCTGAAAACGCTAGGAAAAGGTTGAACTTCTATTCAGATGCCATCTTGTCCCAAGACAGCTCGGCTGCACTTGGCTTCATTTTACAAGCACAGCCCTTGGCTCAAGTAGGAGAAAAGCTCCTTCGAAGTATCAAACACAAACAGGTAAACTACCAATATATAAAATAGCTTGGATTTTTTGCTCATATTTTCTGTGCTGATATTGTGATTTAACCTTAAACCCTTTTGAATAGGAAGCCTTAATGTGGGAGAGACCAAAACTCAGAAATATCCTGAAACCAACTTGCATGGATTTGGGAGAAAAATTGCAGGACATAGAAATACCCTTAAGAGGGATTGAAATTGCTGCAACTTCTTGCCCTTCTTTTCCTGTTGCCTTGATTAAGAAAGTGCAACCAGATGCTTTACATGACATGAAAAGGCGAATACATGACAAGCTGGAGCAAATTGAGCGTTTTGCACCCTTCTACATACTAAAGAAAAAGGAAAAATCTTTGGATGAGTCCTTCTGGCCCCTCGAAACCATTTTTCGTGAAGATTTGCTGGCTTTCTTTTTTCTGGATTGTTTGAAACTCCTCCGAGAAAGTACTGAGGCAATTGAAGAATGCGAAGAGAGCTACTCTGAAAATGAGAGTTCACATGGTTCAGAAAATCAAAGCCATGGTGGTATCAAATGGAGCTGGAGCATTTCATGCATTATACCAAGCAAAACAAGCCTACTTTTTGCAGTTAAGTGCTCAGTTTCATTAGGCCTTGCTGTGCTATTGGGTTTGTTGTTTAATGAGAGAGAAGCATATTGGGCAGGCCTCACAATTGCAATAAGTTTTGTCAGAGGAAGACAAGCAACATTTACAATTGCCAATGCTCGAGCACAATCTACGGCAATGGGATCAATCTACGGAATCTTGTGTTGCTTTATTTTCCGTAAAGTTGAGAATCTAAGTTTCTTACCTCTTCTTCCTTGGTTAGTTTTCACAAGCTTTCTAAGGCACAGCAGGATGTATGGCCAAGCTGGTGGAATATCAGCAGCTGTGGGGGCACTGCTGATACTTGGTAGGAGACATTATGGCCCTCCACTTGATTTTGCAATTGCTAGAATCACAGAGGCTGTTATTGGATTGATTTGTTTCATTACCATAGAGATTCTCATATACCCTGCAAGAGCAGCAGATCTAGCAAAACATAAACTTTCACTTAGCTTGGGAACTCTTCAAGAATACATCAAAGATGTAGTTCTTTTTGACAACCAAAACAACCTGCAGGCTTCAATCTTTCCAAAATTGAGACAGAAACAGAAGAAGTTGAAGTCCCGTGTCAATAAATTACAAAAGTTCATTGAAGAAGCTGAACTGGAGCCTAATTTCTGGTTCATCCCTTTCAATGGTTCTTGCTACAGAAAGCTCCTGAGGTCTTTATCAAAGATGGGGGATCTTTCACTTTTTATGTCCAACAAAATAGAATTTCTGTCAGTTGTCTTACAGAGATGTGAAATTGATTCAGAGGACCTCCAAAAACCCATGAAGTGCATTAAAAATGACATAGAACTTTTCAAGAAAAAAGTTGAGACTTCACTGCAATGCCTCCAAGAGCTGTCTTCCAAGAAGTCTTTTGCAGTACATGACAAGCATGACATTGAGTTGGGTACATCACCAAAAGCAAATGAGTGTAGGGGTTTGGAGACAGAGAAGGAAGAGGTTGAATGCATTTTAAATTCTTTTCTTCAACATTCCAATGAAGTATCTGACAGAGTTGGTACCAATACTGAAGGTGAGGATCAGAAGCTTAAGAGCCAAGTTATTGTTTGCTTGGCTGGCCTAGGGTTTTGCATCAGTAGTTTACTCAGGGAAGTAAGAGAGATGGAGAAAGAGTTTCAAGAACTGGTCAATTTGGAAAACCCTTCAAGCCATGTCATAGTATGAATTCTCACATTTTTGTACTAACTTACCTGTAAATAAGCATGTTCTGCATACCCAATATTACACCTCGGATCTCCTACTAATATTAACTATAAATTTGCTTTTGACAATTATGCAAAGCAAACACATGAAAGGATCAATGTTCTTTTTTTTTGCCAAAGTTACGAAGGGGGAGGGGGAAAACTCATACACACAGGTACCATGGGGACTTGAATCTAGGACCACTTGGGAGCACCCCAAAGGCCTGGGCCAATCTAACTAACACCCCATTGATTGAAAGGATCAAAGTTCATCAAGTTAAACATTGTATGCTATTAGCTAGTATATTGTGTTGTAACCTAATTTAAACTCAATAAACTATTTAATGACATATATTAGTTCAAATGTCTTCTTTGGATGAGGATTTAACATTCAAGACCAAAACATAACTTTGATTGGTGGCCTAATCTGCCAAAAAAAAAAAAATCCAATGTGATCCTTATGAGCTGTAAAGTAATGAAGTATACAGCTAAGTGAAATTAAAGGAGAGATTAAAATAGGAAAAATAATATCAATTAACATAATCATTTGCATCAACAGTTTCTGTCGTTTTCACCACTTGTCCAATTGCCAATAGTAATCTAATGCAAGAAAGGCCTCCTTGCTAGAACTTTCTGCTCATAATTCATATAGGCTGGCTTTGATTTCTAGCTAGCAGAGATATCCCACATTGGTCCATGATGCCATCTGAAATGAATGGCAAGGCTCCAATATGTTTCTGCATGAAATCAAATCACATGATGAATATCGACAAAATAATCTGACCCCACATCACATGTTCTGAGAAACATGCCCGAGTAGCCACATTTTCTCATGAGATGTGCATGCACAGCCTCGTCATCATGTGAAAGAGATGTGTATCCAAATAGACACCCAATAGCATTTTTCTAAACTTCTGATCATATCAGATAAGCTTCAGAAGAAGATATTGTCTTTTGTTTGGAAAGTGACACTGCATGGCTCCTTTATTTTATTAGTTTCTCAGCTGCCACGGCAGTAAATTCAGAATCTTTCCCTGCACTTTCTCAGCAACCAAACAGAGTCTTGAGTTTACCAGCCTTAATTCTATTAGTTTCTACTGTCCACTAGCTCATTATTATGTTTCTGCTGCTGGCACAAGTAGCCTCCTTTTAGGCCTCTTTTATTGGAGTCTCTCATCATCACAGTTTTCTAGAGTTCATAGTGGTTCTGTGATCAGTTGGGTTGAGAACTTGAAGCTATGGACTCTGCTGCTTCTCATGACCTAGAGAAGCCACTCATTGTCGATGATTTGCCGGTTCTGAAAATAAAGAGTCATACAAGAGATGTTCATATTCTCAGCTGTGCCTTCTTGTTGATCTTTCTTGCTTTTGGTGCAACTCAAAACCTTGAGAGCACTCTCATCACTGTGAGTTGGGTTTTCCATTTTCGTCATCTCCTCTGCTTTGAAGAAACCAAAAGTTGGTTTCTTTTGACCTTTTTTTTTGGAGTCTTATGATGGTTTGATTGGAACTTTGAAATTGACATATCAGGAAAAGAACTTGGGTACCACTTCGCTTGGAATTTTGTATCTATCTTTCGCATTTTTCTCTTTGGTGGCATCCTCAGTGGTTCGAGCACTGGGTTCAAAGAACTCTTTGATCCTTGGCACCACTGGCTACTGGTTGTTCATAGCTGCACATTTAAAACCAACTTGGTAAAGCTCATTAGACCAAAATAAATCCCAACACAGAAGCAAATGCTTCATTATTTTTCATACCAAGACTAATCTTGAGCTTAAAAAAATTTCTATGAAGATTTTTATCACAATGCATATGCTTTAGCCTTGAAGTGTTTCCTTGTAGGTATATAATGGTTCCAGTTTCTCTGTACCTTGGATTTGCCTCTGCAATAATATGGGTTGAGCAGGTACATACAAGTCTTTGTAGAATCTCAGTTTTTTTGTGGCAAAAGCTAGAATTTTATTTCTAACCTTATTGTGGGGGGTTCATTAGGGGACATATCTAACTGCTGCGGCACGCAGTCATGCCAGAGATAATGGCTTGCATGAAGGAACAATTATTGGCAACTTCAATGGAGAATTTTGGGGAATGTTTGCATGTCGCCAGGTGAATCTGTTTGACCTGTTATTTATGAATTTGTGCTACATTGTTAATCAAGATTTAGCTTTTCATTTTGTCTCATAATCTTTACTGTAAACTTCCGCAGTTTGTTGGAAATCTTTTACCACTCATCTTGCTAAGAGGTGGAACGGTATGTGCCATCCTTTCGTTTGTTTTGTCCCTTCTAGATTATAACAGTCATCATGCACATACATTACTTGTTCGATTTCGGGTTTAGAATTTGTCATTGTTTGATATGCAGGAGGGAAATCCAAGTGATACGACGCTATTGTTCACTGTGTTTCTCTGCAGTATGACCTTAGGTACCATACTGATGTGCTTCTTAAATAAAAGGGATGATGAAGAAGAGAAGGACCCCCATAATGCTGAATCTCTCAGCTTATATGCTTCTCTGTCATCTTTGTCAAAGTCAATTGTCGCTCCCTTGTTTGATGTACGGATGCTATTGATCATCCCCCTTATGGCCTATACAGGATTACAACAAGCATTCGTATGGTAATTAATTACTTGACCAATTATCACTGCCTACTTTCTTATAGACAAAACAATATCACTTGCTTTTCCCCTTACTAATTCACTGCAACAATCATTCTAATTTTAGGGCTGAATTCACCAAGTATATCGTTAGTCCAATGCTCGGTGTGTCTGGTGTGGGTGGTGCAATGGCAGTTTATGGGGCTTTTGATGCAGCAGTAAGTATATATGCAGGAAGAAGTATTCTGATTGATTCATTTGCATTGTATTCACAATGAGAATCTTTTTCCTATTGTATATAAGAATAACTTGCTGTCATAACTAGCCTTAAGAAAAGAAGAGTTTAAGTTTATACCTTTTCTGTGATTTAATTTTGATCATTGAATCTGTTTCTAAAGAAGCAAGAAACATGCTCAAACTTTAGGTGTTAAAAGCGAAGTAAAATCCATACAATCCACATGCTTGCTAGACAACATAAATTCTGTTTTAGGCAGATTTGTTTGTTATATTTGTGATCTCACATTTTGTTGCCATTTATGTCAGTGTTCACTCACTGCCGGCCGCCTTACCTCCGGTCTCAAGTCCATCACTCTTATCGTTTCTGGCGGAGCTTTTGTTCAGGCTGTCATATTCCTCTGGCTTCTTCTATGTTACAGGTTAATTAGCAGTATTTACCGGCAACAGTACTATAGTTTTGCAAGAGTCTGAAATTGCAATTGCAATCTCCAATTTGAAGACCTTGTAACCTCTAGTCCTTATTTTACCTTGTTATGTTCATGCAGCCCATCAAGTGGAATACTTGGAACCTTAAACCTTCTCATAATGGCAGCTCTATTAGGGATTGGTGATGGAGTTTTCAACACACAGCTCAGTGCTCTGATTGGAATATTCTTCAAGGACGATACGGTATCAATTTCATACTATAGTTTTGCAAGAGTCTGAAATTGTAATTGCAATCTCCAAGTTGAAGACCTTGTAACCTCTAATTCCTTATTTTACCTTGTTATGATCATGCAGCCCATCAAGTGGAATACTTGGAACCATAAACCTTCTCATAATGGCAGCTCTATTAGGGATTGGTGATGGAGTTTTCAACACACAGCTCAGTGCTCTGATTGGAATATTCTTCAAGGACGATACGGTATCAATTTCACCACACTTTTTCCCTAATCTTTCTCCTTTATAAGTTCTGTTATTCATGAACTTCAGAATCAAAACCACTTGTATTTACAATCCGACCCGAATCTGTTGCTTTCGGGGGAAATGCAGGAAGGAGCATTTGCACAGCTCAAGGTGTGGCAGTGTAGTGCTGTTGCACTCATCTTCTTCATCAGTCCATACATCTCATTGCAAGCAATGCTGGTGCTTATGCTGTCTGCAATCTGCCTCTCGTACGCCGCCTTCGTTTACCTATCCCAGCAAGGAGAGAAAGCACTCTCACTTCAAGTTCAGGTTCAAGTTCAGGCTCAGGTTCATGATGTGTGCACATGAATGAAAACATCTTTAAAGAGAATTGTGTCATAGGCATAGCAATACAAGTTTTTATATTTTTTTTATGTTGGTGCTGTCTCTAAATACCATCCCCTCTGTTGTTTCTAAAACTAATGGAAATGACCATTATACCATCACAAACACACCACCATACTGTCGACAAGCACTCAGAAGTCGGTTCAAGTCCACTTCAAGAGGATGGACTTCTAAATTTCCAATTTTTGTTTTCTTTTGTTCTTTTGTTCTTTTGTTTCCACCTATAAGATCTATTTTTGAACTGATTCTCTTTCAAGTCTATTGGGAGACAAATAAAATTGAACTCTCTGGTGCAAGAGTTTTTTTCTTTTTTCTTTTTCAGGACTACTATTGTGTTTGTTATTTATGGTATATTTGTTTTCTATTTCAGTAGCGTGTCAACATTGGAAATAGATATACTACTAGACCGAGAACTAGTTTACATAAGTATCTTTTTCGACCCATCTACGATTATGCATAAAGAAGGCTAAATTACATTTTTAGCCTATGTAGAGTAGCCCAATTTTCACTTAAAAGTCCCTATAATTGTCTCTCTCGAAAGAAAAAAAAGAAGTCGTCCGTATAAAGCTATTTCTCATCAAAGCAAAATCAAAAGCTACTGTCCACCATGAAGTTGACGGAGTGTCGACATGGGGATATGTAAAATACCCAAAAAGTCGACATGGGGCTAAAACTGTAATAAATAAATTAAAAAAACCTGCAATTATGTGTTGGCGGCAACAATAACGAATTGATTAGCAAAACGTCCGTCCGGCGTTTGTCGTTGTCTTCCTCTTCTTCTCCAGCAACTGTTTGTCGTTTCCTGAGATTTCTTCGGTGGATACAAAGGCATTTCTTTACCGCTTGATTCCAGACCATCCCAACCGACAACAACGAAAATTCAGAGAATCATTTCAACTATCTTTTCATTTTCACTACATTCTCTCAGCAACCAAACAGTGCTCAGAGTTTATGAACTCAAAATTGAACCCAAATTGAAAGTCAATCTCTTTCTTTGTCAACTACCTCTCGATTTTCTTCGCCGGCAGTGACCTCTCCTCTTGGCCTCACTCGATTGGAATTTGGACTCTCTCGCACATGTTTAGGGTTTTATAGCGATTCTGTGATAAACTGTATAGAGAACTCAAAGTATGGAGTCTGCGGATTTTCGTAGTGAAGAGACGCCACTTGTCGTCGAAAATTCGCCGATCCAAAGCCGGAGGAAGCATACAAGAGATGTTCATATTCTCAGCTCTGCCTTCTTGTTGATTTTCCTCGCTTATGGTGCCGCTCAGAACCTGGAGACCAGTCTCAACACTGTGAGTTTAAAGTTTGAATCTTTAATTGAAAAAAATTGCTTTCGCTTTTTCAAAATTGATTTGGTTGATAATTTGGGACTGTGATTTTGGGTTCAGGAGGATGATTTGGGTACCATTTCACTTGGGATTTTGTATTTGTCTTTCACGTTTTTCTCTTTGGTGGCGTCTCCGGTGGTTCGAGCATTGGGATCAAAGAATGCTTTGCTTCTTGGGACTACTGGCTACTGGTTGTTCATAGCTGCAAATTTGAAACCAACTTGGTATTTACTAATTTGCTTGTATACATACTTACATGCATAAATGCATCACAATGCATATGTTTATTTGTTGAAGTATTTCCATGTAGGTATACAATGGTTCCAGCTTCTTTGTACATGGGATTTGCTGCTTCAATTATATGGCATACATTCTTTTTAAGACAGATTTTCGGTGTGCGATTTGTTTTTGGTCTGTTATATTTGTGATCTCACATTTGGGTTGAACATATGTCAGTGTTCTTTGAGTGCTGGTCGACTCACCTCTGGTGTCAAGTCCATCACTATTATAGTTTCTGGTGGAGTTCTCCTTCAGGCTATTATATTCCTGTGGATTCTTTTATTATACAGGTTAGCAGTATTTACGAGTAGCGTACTACAGTTTTGTAGACTCTGAAATTGTTACAGTAATATCTAATTCGAACGATTGGCCGAAAAAGGAGAATATCTAATTTCAAGCTATTGCTATCTTGTTGTTATGATGCAGCCCAGTGAGTGGTGCACTTGGTATTATCTACCCTCTTATAATGGCAGCTCTCTTGGGCATTGGTGATGGAGTCTTAAATACACAGCTCAGTGCTTTGCTTGGGATATTCTTCAAGAACGACACTGTATTTGACTACACCTTTTCTCTAATTCTTCTCCTTTTTAAGTTCTTGTTCTTTATGAAGTTCAGAACAACCATTGTATTGATACTCAGTCTGTTGCTTTGGGGGAACAGGAAGGAGCTTTTGCACAGCTGAAGGTCTGGCAGAGCGCTTCAATTGCAGTCGTCTTCTTTATCAATTCATACATCTCATTGCAGGCAATGCTGATAATTATGCTTGCCGCAATCGTCCTCTCATACGGTGCCTTCGTTGTTCTGTCGCTTCGAGAGAAAGCGTTCCCATCTTCGAGTTCATAACGTGTAAACATGAAATCATCCTCCAGAAAAACCTTTGTGTATACAAGCAGGTATATGTTAGGTTTGCTACTGTCTCCAAATCCATTCCACTTTACATATTTGTTGTTTGTAACATGTTCATCTATTTCAATAGAAATGAAAGTATAGTGTGAAGAGTGCAAATATTCAGAATTTGAATCTGAACCACTCATTGTGTACATTTTCATTCGAATTAACATACGATTTCCACATTAAAATTAAAATAAAACCACCAAAACAAATATGAGCAGTCAACAAATATGGGTCATTTCCCATCTTCTTCCACCTAAACTCCAAAATTCACAAAGTCGTTGAAATTAGGTCCCCTCTCTCTCTCTCTCTCTCTCTCTGACTTTTGACCACCCAATCGCATGCCTATATAAACTCCCAACCTCACCACTTCGTCTTCCCAAACCCAAAGAACAACATGCTCCGCTCGCTCTTCACCTCCACCCTCATGACCCTCTCCTCGCGCTGGCCAGTGCTAATCTACGCCGCCACGTGGACCACATTGCTCACTCTGACTGTGGCCGTGGCCTCCTTCTCCCCCGAGGTCGCGTTCGTCTCCTCCATTTCGTCGACGTCTTCGTTCTCCCGCGCCTGCGATTCGGAAGGCTCCTTTAGGGTTCCGTCGGACGTGCCGGGAGATATCCTGTGCTTGCCGGCTCACCTGTTCAGCAAGTCCAGCATCGATTTCATCGTGCCCCCTGTTTTCGCGGCGGTTGTGGTGGCTGGGTCGGCTTTCCTGGTTCGAGCCGTGGGCTTGTGGGAGACTGATGAGGTCCCTTGAGTTGGGCCTGTTGGGCTCGCTTTGTGGAAAAAGCATTTTTTTATTTTTTATTTTTTGAAGATATAGAATTTTAGGTGCTTAATTAATGTTTATGACGTGATAATAGGTTTTTAGTGCTTTGTTCTGTAGTTGGATGGCTCATGTTATAAATACGTGGAGAAATTGTTGTTTGTGAGGTGAGGGTAAATATTAATTACTTAATAGTTAGTTACGCATGACATGAGCGATTTCTAACCATTGACGTATGTATGGTTGGATTTTGCATCAAAATCAAAACAGTAATCTTTCTTATCATTCGAGTAGATTTATAACACTAAATAATTTATTACATCGAATAGCATGGTATTACTGTCACACTAAATAATTTATTACATCGAATAACTTGTTTGAAATGAATGAAAGCTCCAACTTGGTGGAGAAAAAAGAGATATTTTTGCTTCCCGTTCCAGATTAGGGGAAACGTGATTTCATGATAGTACTAGCATAGTATTACTTTCACACTAAATAATTTATTACATCGAATAGCATGGTATTACTGTCACACTAAATAATTTATTACATCGAATAACTTATTTGAAATGAATGAAAGCTCCAACTTGGTGGAGAAAAAAGAGATATTTTTGCTTCCCGTTCCAGATTAGGGGAAACGTGATTGTGCTAAGGATGATTTGTTAACCTCATATTAATCAAAGAGCCAACTGAAATCCCATCACTATAAAGAAGCACATAATAAGTGACAATCACTGTATGTAAATGATTATGCCTTGCAATTCCAAGTGGTAGGCATCTCAGATTCACAGGATATGCTTATGCTTCTTAAATAATCAGCTTTTGGAAGCCCCATCGATCAACTTGTTGCTGAAGTCCCAAAGCTTTTGGGCCAACTTTTCGTCTCTAGCATGTGAGCTGGGTTTCATCTCGTTGCAGTCCACAAAGTATTTTCCAGTCACACCTTTCATTTTTGGGTGCAGTGCTACATATGATGTTGTGGCTGCTCCCTGAAAACAATCAGAGAGATTGCATTCAAAATATATTTTTAATTTAATCCCTCAGTCCATTGGAACAAATAATTATAAATAAGAGAGATCATTAGTTGGAGATTAATTAATTAATCACCTGAGGTACATTCTTCCACATCCAAAAGGTGAACAACTTGAAAGTTTCTGCATAGAGATGATCAAAATTAATTAATTATAATATGCTTAATTGTATAAATTGGAAATATGCATGGAGTATTGGGACATACTCATCAAAAGAGGAGAATGCCTCATGAGAGGTGTCATGATCAATCCTGGGTGGACTGAGTTGACTGTTATGTTCACACCTTCTTCCTGCACATAAAGCAATATAACATGTAAGAGCATGTATGGAATTTTAAAACTTTAAATTCAAGGTTAACTTATCTCCCCACTTGTTAATCACTCCGATCGTGAATATCAGTAAATCATGTCAGCGTAAACATGTTAATTGATAGTATGACAATATAACGTATTAAATTGATACTATTGAGAGTTGGTATAGGTCTTATTGTAGGGTGTATATGTCTATGGGAGCCTGCCGGGTTACCCACTTGAGGACAGTGATTGATATACAATTTTTTTTTTTTTTTCAATTGATTTTTTTTCCCAGCAGCAATTATAATCTCTGTACATACTTTGGTGAAAGTTCAATCTGTTTCTATTTTTTAGCTCCCAGCCCTACTTCATGTGCCTCCACAAGCATGTAGGTCTCTTCACCCATGCTTATGGGACACTGGTTACCTACTTGGGGCCCTTGATGAACTATCAAACACTCACTTTACACAACTACCATGCACCTGTTTTTTCTGGCTTCAATTAAATGGCAGTGATTAGAGATGTTTTGGGGTTGGTCTGGGGTTCTATGAGCACATTTTTTGTATACCATGTGTCTCTGCACAACACTAGTTTCAAATAATTAATGTGATTGGGGCTTTCTGCAGACAATAGAGGAAATAGGATCACCTGCAATCGACGAGAGAGCTCATTGGAATGCAGTAAGTTTGCTAATTTGGATTGCCCATATGCCTTCAGTTCTGAGTAACTGAGTACAAAAAACATTTAAGTTACAGGATTGTGAGCTATCTGCTTATAAATAATCAATATGGAAAAATATTGGATTACTCAAATTATTACTTACCCAATTCGATCGTTGATCTTGTCAAATCGAATCCCCTCTTGGTAAGGGGTTGTATGAGCAAGTGATGACAGAATCACAATTCTGCCTTCTACACCAGTAGTTCTAGCAGTGTTCTTCATTTTCTCAAGCATAAGGTTTGTTAAGAGAAAATGGCCTGTAAAATAAGGTTATCTGCTTAACTAAAATGGAATGAGTGAAAAAGTTGGGAGCCCAATTCTTTTTTCAAATCCTTTTCCCCCAATTCTCTCATATGAGATGGGCCTTAATTGAAATCTCATACATCTCAAAAGAAAAGATAACAGTAGTTACCAAGATGGTTGGTTGCAAACTGCACCTCTACTCCATCTTCTGAAAGCTGGTGGGGGCAGAACATAACACCAGCATTGTTTCTGCAACATAAACCACCGATTTTTATAAACTGAAGAAATTGAAAATGCTAATATGTTAATAATTTCATATTAAACTAACTAAATAAGGAGAGAGAGAGAGAGGGAGAGAGAGAGAGGATGACATTAAGAGGTTGAGAGGAAGATCAAGAGCATTGAAGCTATCAACAAATGCTCTAACAGACTTGACAGAGCAGAGGTCAAGTTTCAGAACATCCACTCGGGCACTTATATTTTCTTTAATAATAGCCTGTTTTGCTTCATTAGCAGCCTCTATGTTTCTGGCGGCAATGATGACATGGGCTCGACGAAGTGCCAAGACTCTTGCTGTCTCAAACCCAATCCCACTTGCCCCACCTGCATTTCACAAACAGGAACAGAAATGTTGATCAAACTAGACAGTGTTCTTCATTTTCTCAAGCAGAAGGTTTGTTAAGAGAAAATGGCCTGTAAAATATGGTTTTCTGCTTAACTACAATGCAATGAGTGAAAAAGTTGGGAGCCCAATTCTTTTTTCAAATCCTTTTCCCCCAATTCTCTCATATGAGATGGGCCTTAATTGAAATCTCGTACATCTCAAAAGAAAAGATAACAGTAGTTACCAAGATGGTTGGTTGCAAACTGCACCTCTACTCCATCTTCTGAAAGCTGGTGGGGGCAGAACATAACACCAGCATTGTTTCTGCAACATAAACCACCGATTTTTATAAACTGAAGAAATTGAAAATGCTAATATGTTAATAATTTCATATTAAACTAACTAAATAAGGAGAGAGAGAGAGAGGGAGAGAGAGAGAGGATGACATTAAGAGGTTGAGAGGAAGATCAAGAGCATTGAAGCTATCAACAAATGCTCTAACAGACTTGACAGAGCAGAGGTCAAGTTTCAGAACATCCACTCGGGCACTTATATTTTCTTTAATAATAGCCTGTTTTGCTTCATTAGCAGCCTCTATGTTTCTGGCGGCAATGATGACATGGGCTCGACGAAGTGCCAAGACTCTTGCTGTCTCAAACCCAATCCCACTTGCCCCACCTGCATTTCACAAACAGGAACAGAAATGTTGATCAAACTAGAAAGAGGCATATTGGCTTGCTCTCTGTCTCTATATGCAGAGTAGCTCTGCAACACAATTCAGAAAATGATTTGCAAAAATTTGCATTCAAAATCCATATTACCACTCCTAATTTCATGTTTACTTGGGTCATATCTATTTTTTTGTTCTTCTTTTTACTAAAAAAAAAAAGAAGAAAAACCCAAAAATAGAAAAAAAGAAAAAAGGCCATTAACACCAGAAACAGAAACATCCAATGAAATAAAGAACCCCACAAAGACCGGAAAAATAAGAAAAAGAAACAAACAGTAGAATTAATTCACAGAGGAAAATGCAAATTTAGCTGACCAGTTACAATAGCGGTAAGGTTGCTAGCATCAACTCCTTCAGTAACCTGCTCAGCAGTTGAAGCTGACCCGAACCCACTAGGCCCTGGCCTTCCTGTCACCAATGCAAAGATACCCATTTCCTAAAATCACAAGAAAGAGCCAGTCTCAATCAAGAAACCTACAGAGGTGGTCACAGCACACAATGATATGAGCCAAACTGATGGACTCTATCTTTATAACAAATGGACACACAGCTTTGGGCGAGATTAGAAACTTGGAGGGTAAAAGACAAAGATGACACAGTGCTTAGGATGAGAAAGAGAGGAAACAAATGCATGGCAATAAATATGAACACCGCGCCAGAAATTTTTGAGTGCGATGGTTTTTACGCGGTTTGATTCATCCGCGGGTTATAACTTTAAAAGTTATGTTGTTATCAATCTACTTATGTTATAACGTGTGTGCAAAATAACATTTGAATTAACATCATGTGTCCGTGACACCCAAGAAAGTTTTGAGAAAGAAAATACAAATAATATTAAATGCTCTTATTTAATGGCCTCATTAATCAAGAACGAATGGGCAGTAATTGTGAAACGACCCGATCACCAACTGGCCCCAGCATGGAAGGATGTCATCAATTTTGAACAAATAATTTATGCATTTATAGTCGAATTATTATTGGATTAATCCTAATATAAAGTTTCTATCTTGAGTGTCGATGGTTTTTGTGAGTTTCTGTGAGTCTTTCTAGTAGTCTTTTGTTTTTCTTGTTATGATTGAAGGTTTAATTTTGTTTAATCATGGTTTATGGATTGTTATTGTTCTTAATTAATAAGGTTTGGCTGTATGCATTTGTTCTTCTTAATTAACCAGCACACCCGCCCGCCACCCAATAAGATTCCTGGCTCTGTCCAAATCCCATTACATTATTTTTTCGACAATACAAAATAATTATCAACATACGACCAAACGACAATAACTATGAACCTTTTCAATCAAACCCAAATTCCACAAACATAAGGGTTATGCCTTTTAAGCAAGCTTTATATAAAAATAGGCATCACAGATTG